AATGGCAGGTGCATTTTTAAGACCGAAAGACATCACATGCCATTCATATAATCCTTCTGAAAAGGAGAAAGTTGTCCATTTTACAGAGTATGGATCCATTTTTACCTGATGGAAACCACTCTTCAAGTCAAAATTTGAAAACCATCTTGCATTTTGTATGCAGTTTATCAAAATATCTTTAGATGGAATAGTATATCCATCTTCGACTGTGTTATCATTAAGTCTTTTATAATTGTAAACCATCCTAGATTTACCTCTTTTTTGTTCTGAAGCTTTGTTAACTATGAAAGCAGGACTCCTGTGAGGACTTTCACTTGGAGTTGTTACTTTCAGCTTCAAAAGATTATCGATGTGCAATCGACATTCTTCTTGTTCCCAGTTATTAAACTGTATGTCTTTTGTTTTTATAATCAAATCAAGATTGATTATATTAAGTTTACACATAATAGGGTCACGATCCCAAAACTTCGTAGGGTCTTCTCCTATTATGTTGGTTTTGTTTAACATATCCAATATCTGTTGGATGTTGTCAAACATGATTGTTTTTAATATCTTTATGGAAGTGAAAGATTCCATAATATCATTTGTATAGTAATAATCTAATTTTTCTAAATCTTGTTCCATACAATCACATATGTCAGAAGATTTAGGATTATCACAAGAACATCCATCCATAGGTTGTTCTATGTATTTTTGGTTGGCACTGCTAATTATGGGAGACATTTGTGTTCTATCATTAATTATAACATAATCTTTGTTTATAGTGATAGTTCGATCTTGGTCTAGGATAAAATCTAAACCAATAATTATACTTTGTTTGGAGGGGACTAAATTTTTCACTCGCATAAATTTGAGGTGTATTTTCTGACCAAACAGGTCACAATTTGTGCTAAATTGAAGAGAGATATTCCTTATCTCTTCATCATTTATGATTATTTGACCAGACATCATTCTGGTTTTTTGTACATGTTTACTTTTGGTAATCATGTATGTGGGTACTTTTCTTCTACATACAACTGTTTCAGAACATCCTGTATCTAAAAGAGCTTGAACTATAACCTCTTTGGCAGGATATTTGTCTTTCTGAGGAAAGTTTAATTTTACTAATACCTTTACGATAATTAGTTGTTTTGTATTACAAACTAATGGGATACATTCCGTAGTTCCCATCATATTGTTTTGTGTAAAAGTAGATACTAAATCCTTATTAGTATCTTTTCCTTAACTATTTTTTCTAAGTGAAGAACCTTTTCTTCAATTAGGTTTAATCGAGTTTCTAAAACTGAAGTCCTAGTGTCGATTAAATTTTTGTCTTTTGTACTTTCTTCTTTTCCTAAGAAAATAGGTGTATCGTGTATTCCTTGTTTAGTTTTTAAACAGTCTAAACAAAAATTTTTATAACAAAGGGGACAATGAGCCCTTTGAGAGATGTGAAAATATCTTTCACAATGTAGACAAGGAATGGATCCTGGTCCTGAGAAAAATTGAATGTCATGACAACATGCATTTTTCTCTGTTGTGTTCATTAAACCATTACCTAAATAGTCTAATGTTTCTCGTAAGTTTAGAAGAAGTTTAGGGTTTTGTAGACTCAGCTGTGTACAAGGCATATTGTCTAGTGTAAGGTTTTGGTTGTTATCAGAAACAATATTTTGTAGTGATTTTATAGAATCATCATGAGATTCTAACTGGTAGTTATGAGATTGAAAATCATCTGATTCAACACTCATGTTTTCAGACCCTAGGGTTTCTAAGGGTTCTGAGACTTCAGATAAATTATCCAATATATCATCTTCATCTGGATAAAATTCATCTAAAAATCCGTTTATAATGTTATCAAAAGATACATTATCTATTGAATCTTTTTCACATCCTATCATAGGACTGTTTTTGTTTTTAGGGATAGTAAAAATACTATACCTATTATCCACTTACCTATCTTGTTCTAGGTCTAGGTTTGATAAGGTTTTTGAGAACCAGTCCTGTAGTTCTCTTTGTTCTACTAACAAGGTATCTAAAGTTTGTTTGTAGTCTCTATCTGCAACTGGGTTAGCTAAATAACCCCAAGGATTTTTTCTGCGTGACTTAAAGTATCCCATATACTCTATGTTGCCACATAATTTTATCAAACTTTTCAGTTTCTAGAAATCTCTTCTAGAAAAGTATCTATACTGTCTAGTATAGACTTTTTGTATCCCATCAGAGGGAAATTTATAATTTGTTCAACAACTATCAGAGTTGTCTTGTAATTTTTATCCAAAATATTTTGTTCAATAGCTATCAAAGCTGTTTTGTAGTCTTTGCCTAAAAAAGGCTGTGTGGTGCCTATCAAGGGCTGTGTGGTGAAAGGTTGTGAACCTCCATTAAAATTTTTAAAACAAAAAATAAAATGAAAAAAAGGCGGAAAATCAGAGAGCAAGAAAGTAAGGCAGCAGACAAGTGGAGAAGTATAAGGGAATCCACGGAATACACTGTAAAACAATATTTATAAAAGAATATAGATAATCATAAGTCTTAAAAGAAAATATTTTTGTTGTTTTTATTAATTTTTTATTTTTATGTTTTTTTTAAGTGATAAAAAGAAAAACACACAAACAGACAAGAAAGAGAATTAAAAAAAAATGAAAATATTTTTCTTTGCAAAGACTGCCGCAATATGCAACGTATTCCCTAACCCACAAAGGTAGCGTCGTGGGACTTAAGGTCTTCGTGGCACTCCCTGACCTTAACCTGCCCTACTACTAGTTGAGTATCCTGGCGAATACAAACCAGTTCAATTGCAAAGAATCATATTCAGGTAACCAAGGAAAACCTTGCTCTGATACCAGGAGAGAGGGGGGGTGAAACTCAAAACAGAGATCGGGGTTGGAACCGCGGATAACCGCTTAAATACTCCAAAATTAAAAGGTACAGAGAAAGCAAGAAAACTCAATATGAGGAAAACACTGCTCAACTACCAAGCTGAATATAAAGAAGGAGAAGAAATAGAGAGAAGGAGGAGAGGAGAAGGTAAGATGCTGAATATATCTTCGTGTTCAATAAGCTTTTGCTAAACCTATGTTTTATATGAATGCCTCTTTTTCATGCTCAAAGATTGAATATCTCCTAAGTGTTTGAAGAATATTGAACATCCAGTAAGTGTGAGATTGAATATTTGTGAGTGATCCAATAGTGAGTGATATAATAAATCCAAAAACATTATTGAAATAGATTTTGACCTACTTCGATTATATAAAATAAATTTAAAAGATGAAATTTCCATTTACTTATATAATATAATTTTAACAATATAGAAATATCAAATAAATTTTTTCTTTATTATATATATATATATATATATATATATATATATATATATATATGAATAATGTCATCTATCATGTTTACATTTCTATGTCTATCTCTCTACGCTTAGTAGTATAAGGTGAAAGATAAAAAAAAATATATATATTTTTATATGTAAGAATTTTCAAAAGGTCATTATTAAAAAAAAAAAAACATAGCATTAACCAAAGATTTACTTTTAGATTTTGATAGTTTCTTAAATTGTGAAGGTGTTTTCACCTTTTTTGTGGAGGTTTCTGTTTCCACTTTCTTTTAGTTATTGTTCACGAAGTATTTGAAAATAACTTTTAAAGACCGTAAAAATTACACGCATTCAGTTATACTTTTTTTAATGTACATTCATAACCTCCAAATTAAAAATCAACATGTTGTCAAATGTAATTCAAAACTCATACACTTTCATCTTATATATATATATATATATATATTAAAATACTAATCATATATTTATTTGACACTTTTGTTTAATATCAAATAATTTTTAAAATAAAATCTAAGTCACAAATCCCAAAAATATAATATATTTTTTTCTCAAAAAATAATTGGATAATAGAATTAAGAGTATCTCCACCACAATATTAGGCTCGTTGCTTAATCAAACGTATTTGTATGTTATAAATAATTAATCTATGTGACAACAATTTTTTTTTAAATTCTAATAATCTTTTACTTAAATATTCATCATATCCAAAATTTAGAAAATTATTAATTATTTATTTTCGTATAAAATTTTTAATTTTAATTTTTCAAAATTCACATGTATAAAAAATAAATATGTGATTTTTTAATTAAAATATTATAATACATTAATATTTAATTACAATAATTCAACTATTTTTAAGTCATAAATTATGAAATGTAAATAAAATTATAAAAATATTGATGTTTATAAAAATTAAGCATTAAAACGTGTAAAAATATATTATGAATGGGTAAAATACATAATATAACATTTCTTATTTTAAGTGAAATAAAAATTTTAGTATTGTTTGCTTACAAGAACCAATAATGCTCGAACAAATTTCTATAATAATAACCCATAAATTTACAAGTAGATTAAAAAGATATGCGAAAAAACTTTAAATACAAAAGTATTCTCAAATATTACTTATTATAATTATAAAATAGGGTTTTTTTATAACTGCTTGGAAATTAAGGTGAAACCAAAATTTACTTTTAATGGTAGAATCAAATATAATTTGTTGATAATCATTAAAATAAGATAATTTTTTATAACCACTCAAAATAATTTAACTAATAAAATAAAGAATACACAGCATTAGAAACCAAAATTTTAAATGCAAGAGTTAAAATTGGTGGTTCAATAGTTCATTTTCTTTCAAAACCAGGTTTTCTGTAATAATCCAAAAACTTAGTTACTAGTATATAGTGTAAGCCTTGTTAAAATTGGGCTTTCAAAGCAATACCTTTCAAATATGGCCCAAGTAAAATGGAGACTAGGTTTTGGGATTTATAAGTGTGTCAACTCCATTTCCCTCCACCGCATCTCCGCTGTCGGACTCAGTTCATAGTTCATCTTCTCTGGTCCGGCATTTCTTTTTTTTTTTTTTTAGTCCTCTGAAATGTGCTATAATGCTTATTAACGCTACCTTTTAATCTTATTCAGGTCTTGTTTTTATAACACTCAACCAAAGATGCAGAACGAGGAAGGACAGATCACTGAGCTTTACATCCCTAGGAAGTGGTACGCGTACTTTATTCATGTAGTAATTTTTCATTTAACTTATCTTTTTTGCGAATTTGAATCCATTTTGTGAATATGGTGCAGCTCTGCTACGAACAGATTGATTACTGCAAAAGACCATGCTTCGGTTCAGATTAACATTGGGCACGTGGATGAGAATGGTATTTACAATGGGCAATTCTCCACCTTTGCCCTTTGTGGCTTCATCCGTGCTCAGGTCTCTCTATTTTCACTTTTATTTATCCTGTTTTTGGAATTGCTTTTTTATGATTTATTTGTTTATTGATTTATTTTTATTTACAAATATTAGTGTGAACTGTGGCCTTTGTTATGTGTTTGATGGTGATTTATCCGACTTAATATTAGTGCTTTTGTTTATTTTTTTGCAAATTATTCATTGTCTTGATGTATTATTTTGATTTGTGGTTAATGAATCTCTATTGTAAATTAGAATTTTGTGTATAAAATTTCGTATTAGAAAGATGTTCTAAGGCTAATTCTAAGAATCGATATCCAATCAAGCTAATTAAACTAAACACCTTTTGTCTTTACTTGATAGAGTATTTGTTGGAAAGTTGGGATTTAGATTTAGAATATTTAGGATTAGCGTATGAATGAGATTGGCGAGCTAAAAGTACTCACCCATCATGTTATATTTACCGTGGGTTGGCTGGCCGATTCGGCTTGGTTCACCGATTTTGGCTCGTTTTGTAATCCGTAAGTATAATGACTTAGGTCACACAATTCGACCATCCTTATATTTATTACAGATATTATAAAAATAAAAATTCTGTATTAATATAAAATAACTTGAGTCTCATACATTAGACCACAAAAATAATCTAATATATAAAAATTACCACACCATTCATCTGAGTGGAATTTGAACCCACGCCCTCTTTCAAGAATTAGAACTTAAGTCTAACATTTTAAACCACTCGGCCTAACATTGTTGTAAAAATATTATTGTAAATGTAAAACATAAAATTGTAGTATAATAACTTCAATATGAAAAGTGAGAAACATAATATTGTATTAAGATAAATTGAGTATGAAAAGTGAATTAAGTGTAAGGCCTTAAACCACTCAACCATCCTGACACTATCGTTAACAAGGTGACCTTTCTTATATTGTTGTCTTAATATTATTGTAAAAGTCAAAATCATTATGCCAGAGGTGAGATTTTAACATACCTTCTTTTGAAGATCAGAACATGAGTATGATGTCTTAGACGACTAACCCATCCTGAAATTAATATGATTATTTTGAAAATAAAAATCATTTAATATACAAATCCTATGTATTAATATAACATATTTTGAGTTTGACACCTTAGATCACCAAAATCATCTAATATACAAATTTTATGTATTAATATAAAATTATATTATTATAAAATAACTTGAGTATGAAAAATGAGATTATGTAAAATGGAAAATCACGCCCTATGTTGAGATAAGAACTTGAGGCCGACATCATCATCTTATGTATTAATATAAAATAACTAAAATAATTTGAGTTTGATGTCTTAGACTATAAAAATCATCTAATATACAAATTTTATAAACTAACTTGAATTTGAAAAGATAGATTTGACAAGATGATCATCGTGACATTGTCGTCCTAAATACTATTGTAATTGACAAAATCATTATTGGGATTTGAATACTGTAAAAATAAAAATCATCTATTATCTCGCGCCCTATTTCGTGAAAATCACGCCCTATTTTGAGATAAGAACTTGAGTATGATGTCATCATCCTATGTATTAATATAAAATAACTAACTTGAGTTTGAAAAACTATTGTGACATTGTTGTCCTAATACTATTTTAATAGTCAAAATGATTATGTGGGATTTGAATATTGTAAAAATAAAAATCATCTATTATCTCGTGCCTTGTTTCGTGAAAATCACACCCTATTTTAAGCATAAGAACTTGAGTTTGACATCATATCCTATGTATTAATATAAAATAACTTGATGTCTTAGACCACGAAAATCATCTAATACATATCCTATAAACTAACTTGAGTTTGAAAAGATAGATTTGACAAGATGGTCATCGTAACATTGTTGTCCTATTCTAATAGTCAAATCCTATTTCGAGATAATACTAGTGTAAAAGGCATAATCATTTTGTCCAAAAAATCATCTAATAAAATAATTTGAGTTTGAAAAAGAGAAATTCAATTCATTTTATCAGAAGTGGGATTTGAACCCACACCTTCCAAGGATTAGAACTTGAGCCTAACGTCTTAGACTACTCAGCCATTCTAATGTTATTATAAATATTATGAAAACAAAAATTATTTAATATCACACTAATGTGAAAAGTTAAGATAATTTCATTAGAAGTAGAATTTTAACCCATGTCTTCTTTCTAGGATTAGAAACTTGAGTTTTATGCCTTAAACCACTCGACCATCCTAACATTGATATGAATATTGTGAAAATAAAAAACATCTAATATACAAATCCTATATATTAATATAAAATAATTTGAGTTTAATGTCTTAAACCACAAAAAGTATCTAATATACAAATCCTAATATAAAATAACTTGAGTATGAAAGATGAGATTTTATAAAATTGTATTAATATAAAATAACTCAAGTATGAAAAGTTAGATTCTATAAAATTGTATTAATTTGAAATTTAAAATAACTTGAGTACGAAAAGTTAGATTCTGTACAAGTGAAAATCACGTCCTATTTTGAGGATCATAACCTAAGTCTGACACCATAATCCATGTCCTAATATTATTGTAAAAGTCAAAATTATTATGTGAGATCCCTTAGACCACTCGACCTTCCTGATATTATGTTAAATATTATAAGAATAAAAATTATCTAAAGCCCCATGTTCTATTTCGAGGATAATACTATTGTAAAAGTCATAATCATTTTGTTAGCGAGTTTGATGTCTTAAACCACAAAAATAATCTAATATACAAATCCAAAAAAATAACTTGAGTTTGAAAAGAGAGATTCAACAAGATGGCCATAGTGACATTGTTGTCCTACTACTATTATAAAAGTCAAAATCATTAGGTCGGATTTGAGCTCATACCCTCTTTCGAGAATGACTATTGTAAAAGTCAAAATCATTATGTGGGCTTTGAACTCATGTCCTCTTTTGAGGATAAATATTGTAAAAGTCAAAATTATTATGTGGGATTTGAACTCATGTCCTCTTTCAAGGATAATCTTGGCATTATTGTCCTAATACTATTGTAAAAGTCAATATCATTGTGTGGTATCACTTAAAAAACTTGGTCATCTCGACATTATGTTGAATATTGTGAAAATACAAATCTTCTAATATCCCACACCCTCTTTTTGACACCTTAGACCACTCGGTCTTTCTGGCATTATTGTGAAAACAAAAGCCATTTTATATATCATGAGTATGAAAAGTTGAGATCATTATATTAGAAGTAGAATTTGAACTCATGCCCTTTTTCCAATATTAGAACTTGAGTTTGATGCCTTAGATCACTCGACCATCTTGACATTGATATGAATATTGTGAAAATAAAAAACATCTAATATACAAATCCTATGTATTAATATAAAATAACTTGAGTCTAGTGCCTTAAAGCATACAAATTATCTAATATACAAATCTTATGTATTAATATAAAATAACTTGAGCATGAAAAGTGAGATTCTATAAAATTGTATTAATTTAAAATAACTTGAATATGAAAAGTGAGATTCCATATTATCATCCTAATACTATTGTTGTAAAGGTCAATTATTTTGTCAGAAGGATTAGAACTTGAGTCTAACGTTATAGACCACTCGACCATTCTGACATTATTGTAAATATTGCGAAAACAAATGTCGTTGAATATCTCACAAGTATGAAAAGTTAAGATCAATTTTTTTTAGAAGTAGAACTTTAATTGATGTCCTCTTTATAGGATTTGAACTTGAGTTAGACCCCTTAAACCACTCGATCATCCTAACATTGATATGAATATTATAAAAATAAAAAATATCCAATATACAAATCATATGTATTAATAGAAAATAACTTGAGTCTAACACCTTAAACAACAAAATTATCTAATATACAAATCCTATGTATTAATATAAAATAACTTGAGTTTGATGCTTATACCAATCCTATAAAATAACTTGAGTATGAAAAGAGAGATTTGACAATATGATCATCCCGACATTGTTGTCCTAATATTATTGTAAAAATCAAAATCATTACATGGGATCCCTTAGACCACTCGACCTTCCTAACATTATGTTGAATATTATAAAAATAAAAATCATCTAATACCATGCACCCTAGTTTGAGGATAATACTATTGTAAAAGTCATAATCATGTCCACAAAAATCATCTAATACACAAATCCTATAAAATAATTTAAGCTTGAAAAGAGAAATTCAACTCATTTTGTCAGAAGTGGGATTCAAACCCATGCCCTCTTTCAAGGATTAGAACTTGAGTCTAATGCTTTATACCACTCGGCCATCCTGACATTATTATGAATATTGTGAAAACAAAAGTCATTTAATATCGCACGAGTATGAAAAGTTAAGATCATTTTATTACAAGTACAATTTTAACACATGTCCTCTTTCTAGGATTAGAACTTGAGTTTTATGCCTTAAACCACTCGACCATCCTAACATTGATATGAATATTGTGAAAGTAAAAAATATCTAATATACAAATCCTATGTATTAATATAAAATAATTTGAGTCTAACGCCTTAAAGCACAAATTATCTAATATACAAATTCTATGTATTAATATAAAATAACTTAAGTATAAAAGGTGAGATTCTATAAAATTGTTTCAATATAAAATAACTCGAGTATGAAGAGTGAGATTCTATAAAATTGTATTAATTTAAAATAACATTAGTATGAAAAGTGAAAATCATGCCTTATTTCAAGGATCATAACGCCGTAATCCTATGTATTAATATAAAATAACTTGAGTTTGACGCCTTATACCAATCCTATAAAATAACTTGAGTATAAAAAGAGAGATTCAACAAGATGAACATCCTGACATTGTTGTCCTAATACTATTGTAAAAATTAAAATCATTATGTGGGATCCCTTAACGCCTTATACCAATCTTATAAAATAACTTATACCACTCGACCTTTATAAAAGTAAAAATCATCTAATATCTACCCTGTTTCAAAGATAATACTATTGTAAAAGTCATAATCATGTCCATAAAAATAAGTCAAGTTTGAAAAGAGAAATTTGACTCATTTTGTTAGAAGTGGGATTTGAACCCACCACCCTGTTTCGAGGATAATACTATTGTAAAAGTCATAATCATGTCTACAAAAATCCTATAAAATAAGTCAAGTTTGAGAAGAAAAATTTGACTCATTTTGTCAGAAGTGGGATTTGAACCCACGCCCTCTTTCAAGGATTAGAACTTGAGATAAAAGTCATAATCATGTCTACAAAAATCCTATAAAATAAATCAAGTTTGAGAAGAAAAATTTGACTCATTTTGTCAGAAGTGGGATTTGAACCCACGCCCTCTTTCAAGGATTAGAACTTGAGATAATACTATTGTAAAAGTCATAATCATGTCCATAAAAATAAGTCAAGTTTGAAAAGAGAAATTTGACTCATTTTGTCAGAAGTGGGATTTGAACCCACGCCCTCTTTCAAGGATTAGAACTTGAGTCTAACGCCTTAGACCACTCGGCCATCCTGACATTATTGTGAATATTATGAAAACAAAAATCATTTAATATGGCACGAGTATGAAAAGTTATAATCATTTTATTAGAAATAGAATTTTAACCTATGTCCTCTTTATAGGATTAGAACTTGAGTTTTATGCCTTAAACCACTCGACCATCCTAACATTGATATGAATATTGTGAAAATAAAAAATATCTAATATACAAATCCTATGTATTAATGTAAAATAATTTGAGTCTAACGCCTTAAACCACAAATTATCTAATATACAAATCCTATGTATGAATATAAAATAACTTAAGTATAAAAGGTGAGATTCTATAAAATTGTTTCAATATAAAATAACTCGAGTATGAGGAGTGAGATTCTATAAAATATTAATTTAAAATAATTTTAATATGACAAGTGAAAATCATGCATTATTTTGAGGATCATAACGCCATCATCCTATGTATTAATATAAAATAACTTATGTATTAATATAAAATAACTTAAGTATAAAAAGAGAGATTTGACAAAATAAACATCTTGACATTGTTGTCCTAATACTATTGTAAAAATCAAAATCATTATGTGGGATCCCTTATACCACTTGACGCCTTATACCAATCCTACAAAATAACTTGAGTATGAAAAGAGATTTTCGACAAGATGAACATCCTGATATTGTTGTCCTAATACTATTGTAAAAATCAAAATGATTATGCGAATCCCTTATACCACTCAACCTTTATAAAAGTAAAAATCATCTAATATGTCAAAAGTGAGATTAGAATTTGAGTCTAATGCCTTAGACCACTCGGCCATCCTGACATTATTGTAAATATTATGAAAACAAAAGTCATTTAATATTGCACGAGTAAGAAAAGTTAAGATCATTTTATTAGAAGTAGAATTTTAACCTATGTCCTCTTTCTAGGATTAAAACTTGAGTTTTAGGCCTTAAATCACGTGACCATCCTAACATTAATATGAATATTTTGAAAATAAAAAGAATTTAATATACAAATCCTATGTATTAATATAAAATAATTTGAGTCTAATGCCTTAAACCACAAAAATTGTCTAATATGCAAATCCTATGTATTAATATAAAATAACTTAAGTATGAAAGGTGAGATTCTATAAAATTGTTTTAATATAAAATAAGTCGAGTATGAAGAGTGAAATTCTATAAATTGTATTAATTTAAAATAACTTTAGTATGAAAAGTGAAAATCATGCCTTATTTTGAGGATCATAACGGCATCATCCTATGTATTAATATAAAATAACTTGAGTTTGACACCTTTTGTAAAAATCAAAATCATTATGTGGGATCCTTATACCACTTGACGCCTTATACCAATCTTACAAAATAACTTGAGTATGAAAAGAGATTTTCGAAACATCTAATACTATTGTAAAAATCAAAATGATTATGTGAATCCCTTATACCACTCGACCTTTATAAAAGTAAAAATCATCTAATATCCTCCACCTTGTTTCGAGGATAATACTACTGTAAAAGTCATAATGATGTCCACAAAAATCCTATAAAATAAGTCAAGTTTGAAAAGAGTAATTTGACTCATTGTGTCAGAAGTGAGATTTGAACCCAAGCCCTCTTTCAAGGATTAGAACTTGAGTCTAATCTCTTAGACCACTCGGTCATCCTGACATTATTGTGAATATTATGAAAACAAAAGTCATTTAATATTGCACGAGTATGAAAAGTTAAGATCATCTTATTAGAAGTAGAATTTTAACCTATGTCCTCTTTCTAGGATTAAAACTTGAGTTTTATACCTTAAATCACGTGACCATCCTAACATTAATATGAATATTTTGAAAATAAAAAGAATTTAATATACAAATCCTATGTATTAATATAAAATAATTTGAGTCTAATGCCTTAAACCACAAAAATTATCTAATATACAAATCTTATGTATTAATATAAAATAACTTAAGTATGAAAGGTGAGATTCTATAAAATTATTTTAATATAAAATAAGTCGAGAATGAAGAGTGATATTCTATAAAATTATATTAATTTAAAATAACTTTAGTATGAAAAGTGAAAATCATGTTTTATTTAGATGATCATAACTTGAGTGTGACGTCATAATCCTATGTATTAATATAAAATAATTTCAATTGATATCTTATATCAATCCTATAAAATAAATTAAGTATGAAAAGAGAGATTTGACAAGATGACCATCTTGACATTGTTGTCTTAATAATACTAATGTAAAAGTTAAAATCATTATATGGATTTAAACCCACGCACTCTTTCGAGGATAATCCTGACATAATTATCGACATTGTTGTCCTGATACTATTGTAAAAGTCAAAATCATTATATGTGATTTGAATCCGCCCTCCTTCGAGGATAATCTGGCATTATCATCCTAATACTACTGTAAAAGTCAAAACCAGTAGAATCTCTTAGACCAGTCGGACATTCTGAAATTTTGTTTGAAAACAGTGAAAATAAAAATAATCTAATATCTCACAAGTATGAAAAGTTAAGATCCTAACTATTGTAAAAGTCAATCATTTTGTCAGAAGTAGGATTTGAACCCACACACCTTAAACCAATCGACCATCCTTACTCAAAAGTCATTTAATATCTCCCAAGTCAATATTTTTTCAGAACTACGATTAGAACCCACACCTTAGACCACTCGGCCATCCTGACACAAAAGTCATTTAATATCTCCCAAGTATGAAAAGGTAAGGTCATTTATATATTGGCAGTGGAATTTGAACTCGTGCCCTCTTTTCAAGATTGAAACTTGAGTTTAAGGGCTTAAACCACTTAGACCATAGTAACATTGATATGAATATTCTAAAAATAAAAAACATTTAATATAGTAACATTGACATGAATATTCTGAAAATAACAAACATTTAATATAGAAATCGTATGTATTAATATAAAATAACTTGAGTTAACCTTAAACCACAAAAATTATCTAATATATAAATCTTATATATTAATATAAAATAATTTGAGTATGAAAAGTGATATTCTATAAAATTATATTAATATAAAATAACTCAAGTTTAAATAGTGAGATTATATAAATACTTAAGTATGAAAAGTGAAAATCACGTCTTAAGTCGAGTATCATAACTTGAGTCTGACATAATAATCTTATGTATTGATATAAAATAACTTGAGTATGACTCTTATACCAAACTTGATGTTGTTGTCCTAGTACTATTGGAAAAGTCGAAATCATTGTATGAGATTTGAACTCACTTCCTCTTTCGAGGATAATCATGACATTATTATTCTAATACTATAATAAAAGTGAAAATCATCTAGAATCATCTCTTAGACCACTTGGGCATCCGATATTATTTTGAATATTATGAAAATAAAAATAATCTAATACAGCATGCCTATTTCGAGGCCATCTTCACATTATTGTAAATATTGTGAAAACAAAAGTCATTTAACAATTGAGTTTGATGGCTTAGACCACTCGACCATCCTAAGATTAATATGAATATTTTGAAAATAAAAATGATCTTATATACAAATCCTACGTATTAATCTAAAATTGAATGAAAAAAAATCAAGCTCTCTCTTGCCTTGAGCCAATCTCTATTTGGCCCGAGGAAAACTTTCCAAGCCTATGTTACCTTGAAGAGCCCTAAACCCTATAGAAACTATCTACATGGGATTGTCCCCCATCCTTAGGTTATGGCAGAAGGTTATAATTCTATCTCTTCTAGAGTAGTATCTTGCTGATTGCTCTGGTAAAAAAAAACCCTTTTTACCCTCCACTTAAACTGCACAGGAAAATTATGAAAAAAATCCTTTGATTTCAAAGTAGAATTGAAAATTTTCACTCAATTGAACACGTTTAACATATTATTTCATAGGATCGCTGTAACTTACTTCATTAAACTCACCATCATACACTCAACCGTTACACCTACTTTTTCGACATTATAATTTGATTCTGTCATTTGAGAAGGAACATCTGCTCTATGAATGTCGTCTCTATCTCCTGTAACAAAGTAAAAAAAAAAAAAAAGCATTCGACGTACAAAACTCATCTTTATCTCTAAAAATGGGATGGATGAAAAAAAAAATCTCTTAGAAATGAGATTTAAACCCACGTCCCTCCCTCATTCAAATATTAGAACTTGGGTCTGACGCTTTATAACAGTCGGTATCCTATCACTGGTAAATGTTATGAAAGTGAAAATAATGTGATACACAAATCCTATGTATGTGAGAGTAAAAACCATCCAATACACAAGTCCTATGTGTGGCTTCAAATCAAAAGATGACAGTATGTAAGAGTAATAATCATCCCATACACAAATTGTATGTGTGGGTTCAAAGTAAACTATGAGTTTGATGCCTTAGAACGCTCGGTCATCACAATGGGATTTGTAACCAATGTCCTTCTTCGAAAATCAAAACTTGAGTTTAACGTCTTACGTCACTTGCCCATTCTGACAATGTTGTAAAAGTTAAAATTATTCAGATAAATCTGTCCGGAGTAGGATTTGAACCCTCATCTTTATAGGGCCTTATATTAGACTACTCTGAGTCTATTTAGAGTTTTATTAGAAGATCAAAACTTAAATATAAGATCTTATATTAGACTTTTCGATTTTTGCTGACAAATGTTGTGAAAGTGAAAACTATACGTGGTAGCATGATTAATGGTGTGGTGAGATTTGAATCAATGTCTTTTTTAGAAACTATGATGTGATCTACTATTTTTAAATTAAAATTGATATAATTGCATGAAAAATCAAGGCCAGAACTTGAAATATTATGATTTATTACTATTTTTTATGATTTTCATTATATCTTAGATTAAAATTGTATAAAAATTGTGTCAATAATGTGATTTGAACCCATGTTTTGTTTTGAAGACCAGAAAGTAAATCTAATGTCTTACACTAGTCGATCATACTTGTGGAAATCATCCAATACTTCATCCACTGGAAATCATTCAATATCCAATCCTCGAAGTGTCAGAATTGGAGTATGCCGTCTTAGATCGATAGGTCATCTGACCCGTGTGAAAATCATCTAACATCCAATAGTGGAGTTATTTGGCCCACATATGAAAAAATACATGTTTATGATAATATGATTAAGTATGTTTAAATGATTAGTTCTGTTCTGTTTTAAATCATCAGCTATTGAAGAATGTTTTTTCTTTTACCTTTTCAGGGTGATGCTGATAGTGCCCTAGATCGTTTGTGGCAGAAGAAAAAGGTTGAAGTTAAGCAATACTAACTAAGCGTGATAGTTGATTAGTTTTATAATATATATATTTTTTTTAATTTGTTGGATGTATTTGATTGCTATTATTATAGTTTTGAGGGTAGATGCTTATTCTAAATATTTCTTATTCTAATATTTCTTAGTATTTGACACTCAGACTAATTTGTTTTTATAAGTTGTCTTATATTTAATGTCAGATTATAATTATAATTTAATGTGTTTTTTTCTTGTACTTTGGTAAATATTCTGCTGTCTTTTAATATCAGATCATAAAGTTTTCTGGGCATCTTACTATATTTTTTAACTATAATTTAAAATAATTTTTTATACTATGCTCCACGTGTATGAAAGTGTCTTTATTTTAATCTTGACGATGAATAGGACAATTATATGTTCTGATTTTAAGAAAAATCATGAAAAAAAAAACTTTGGAATATTAATTGAAATAAAAAAGATGTGATGCCGAACGGTTTATAATTGATTAAGGCGTGACAAAGAGCACTTTAACTTTGTGTAAAAAGGTTTGGATCATGATGTCTGTTTTGAGTGACAATGTGAGAATTATGACATTGAGGACTTGGATCATGATGCTTTCGGGTTGTTAGTGGCAATGTGAGAAATATGACATGTATCAAAGTTTTGCCCCACAATTTTGTTATGTTAATTTGAAATAAATAATTGTCCAATATTAAATGTTATCTTTTTTAAAAAATAACAAATACTAGTTAATGCTAAGTATTTTGTATTTTTTTTAAAATAATATCATTCATTATTTTCTAAAATAATAATTTATTTTAATTATTATATTGTAAAAATTCATTAATAATTCATTATTTTCTTACCAAACATAGTTTAGAGTTTGTATACCTTGGATTAAGTTTTAGAGTAATAAACTTGGAGAGCTCTCCATCCATTAACAACTTACGAGCTTTGGTTTAATTGAAAAAAGTGGTCAGCATGCAATCTTCCTCAGTTGAAAGATGCACATCTCGTCAAATACTAACAATATCCCATGGAGGTGGATGAGAACTCTCAAATGCCTTATGCAGGGAGGATGATTTTTATTTATTAAATATAGCATCTTTATCTTTCATGAAGTAAAAGTTTTATTAAATATATAATCATTTAGTTTTAACATTACACTTTTTATTTAAATAATATAATCTATTTTCTATTTATTATATTCAATATTATACTTGTTAATGATTAAAAAATGATTTAATACCTAGAATAATAAACAAAAGTTTTGATACTACACTAATAATAATAAAAAAAATATTTTACTTATTAAAAAATTATTAATGATAACGTAGTAAAATTATATGTAACATAAAAAATAATTATTATTATTTATGTTTATAACGTTGAAAACTAATATGAAATAATTTTTTTATAATATATTACAAATTCATCTAATAATATGATTAAATAAAAAATCATATATAAAATAAATTATATTTAATAAAACTACAATATTAAAATTAATTTATTAAATATAAAAATAAATATCAAATCACCTATATTGTATAACAACTATGTTACTTAGTTAAATCATATATTCGAAAAATCTTTGAAATGTTATTATCTAGTCTATATATATATATATATATATATATATATATATATATATATATATATATATATATATATATATATTATTTTTAACTCTAAACTAACTATAATTAATAATAAAAAATAAAATTCATGTCTTATACCTGCCAATCATCACCATGTTTTAAATTAAAATTTGTGAATTCGTAAAGTTACATGAAAAATGAGTAAATCAGAAAACTATCTTAACATTGATGTGAAGATCCCTCTTGTCCTGATTAACAGAACTTCAGTCTGACGCTTTAACCTTTAATCCAGTATACCATACTCATTATTAGTGTGAAAATCATTCAATACGTCTTTTTTTTTTTAACCAGAACTTGAGTCTGACACCTTAAATCTGTCCACAATCTTGATGTCTTAGATTGAGATTTTTTTCTACATCATCACCTATTCATTTTTTAATTACTTAAATAATATATTATAGATTTTATTTATCTAAATAGTTTTTTTTTAAGTTAAGAATTCGATTTTCCGGAATACGAAACGTAAGTATATTTTATAATTTTTTTAAACAATTTAAAATTTGATTTTCTGATAACCGAATTTTAAATAGTTTTCTTTTTATTTTGTTAAGATAAAAAACTAACTAATATATATATATATATATATATATATATATATATATATATATATATAATATATGTTATAATATTTTATTTAACATTTATAGTTTTAAATTAGGTATTTAAAAAGATTTATATATTTCTAAAATTAATAATATATTTAGATTTATTGTTGAAAGTAGTAAAATAATATTTTTAAAATATATTATTAAATATTATATTTAAATTTATTTGTATGAATAAATTTTTTAATTTTTTGATTTATTTGATATTATAATTTTTTTAGAAATTAATAATAAATTAGGAGGATAATAAAAATCTTAAAAATTATATGTATATAAAAAAAATATTTTGATGTAAAATTATATATATATATATATATATATATTCTAAAATATAATTTATATTAATTACTATAATATAAAATATATATTCCAAAATATAACTTATTTTCATTTATATATATATATATATATTATAGAAATTAAAATAAATTATATTTTAGAATATATATATATATATATATTAAATATAAATTATTTTTAAGTTGATTATTATTATTCTAATTTATGCAAAATATATATATATATATAATTAATTTAAAGTTTTTAATTTAAATAATATATTTATATATAATTATAATTTATATAATATATATAATTTATTTAACATTAATTTTATAATTATAATTTTTTTTAAAGTTATAATTATAAATATGATTTTTTTAATTATATAATTATAATTTTTATAATATATAATTGATAAATAATTTTTTTTAATTTTAATTTAATATATATTTTTATTTATAATTTTTTAATATATATTTGAAAAATTAATCAATTATAATCTATTATTTAAAAAACTAATCAATTATACTATATATAATTCCTGTCAAATGTCTTTAATTTTGTCTTGGTTGACAAATATATATTCCTATTTAAAGAGAGATGAAAGAAAATTTGGATGATACATAAGAGCGGTTTATAAATTATAACTTATTAAAGCGAATTTATTGTGACCAAGACATTTTGTGGAAATGAAGAGTTGTGATCACGATGCTTTCTGTTTCTTGATAAGAGTGTGAGAATTATGATATGGGATGGTTGCACAATAACTGTAATTTGTAACTTTTTTTAGTTAAAGATTGGTGAATATTAAATAATTTTTTAAAATAACAAATATTAGTTAATGTTAAATATTTTATCTTTTTAAAAAACAATATATTATTTTAATATATTTTCTTTACTCTTAACAAGATATGATGTGTTTTTTTTTAACTTTCAATTAATTATGTATTTTTTTTCATACTTTATTTTATTTTAGGTACGATTGAAAAAATAAAAAAATAAAAATGCAAAGACGCGTTTATTTTCCAACGAGAGCCATTCTAATATCTGTATCCCACGTTGAGAAAATTAACTAATCGATTTGGTTTGCGCAGTCAAAAATCAATCGTATTGAACAATAATTAATATATATATATATATATATATATATATATATATTTAAATTAAATTATATTTATTATGAGCAAATCACTCAACGACAACTAATGTCAACTATTTTTTCATCGTTAACGCATCAGCATGAAAGTATTACTTTACATGTGACAAATAAAATATTCTTTCGAGAAGATCTATTACTTCAAAAGAATTAGCTAAAGCAAGAATAATGTTCGACCACCGAAACATATTTATGAAAGAAGCGGATCCCATAATAAAATTAATTAAATCTAAATTAGAAAATATAATTTCTATTACTAAATAAATCATATCTTATAAAATTAAAAATACATCTTCATTTGATAAAATTATCTATACAATATTAAAGTTACCTAACTTATTATAATTTCTTTTCTGAAAACAAGAAAACACTTGAAAAATTTGATGGAAGATCTCCAAATGTTGACTTAATTGAAATAACAACATGAAATAATATTGTAATAATATAAGACAACTTTAGATCAATCACACACAAACGAATAAAACTAATAAATTCAATTACTTTATTGATCATCAAAGAAAAATAAACAAATAATTAATAGAAAGTAGCTCATCATCATCATTGATGAAAGATTAATACAAATCGAAGGAGAAGGGTAAAAAACCAGGAGCTTCAGAGGCACAAATGGATATGGAACACAAGACCCAGAGAGTGCACTGTTTGGTCTTGGCATATCCACATCAAGGACACATAAACCCCATGCTTCAATTCTCCAAGCGTTTGCAGCATGATGGGGTGAGAGTAACACTAGTCACAAGCCATTTCTACTGCAAGACCCTTCCCAAGTTACCTGGTTCCATCACTCTTGAGGGAATTTCTGATGGGTTTGATGATGGTGGGTTTGCAGAAGCAGAGAGTATCAAGGCCTACTTGGACAGGTTTTGGAAATTTGGGCCACAAACATTATCAGAACTACTTGAGAGACTCATTAGTTGTGGCAACTCAATTGACTGTGTTGTGTATGATTCCTTCCTACCTTGGACTCTTGATATTGCCAAGAAACATGGGTTAACTTGTGCTGTTTTTCTCACACAACCTCTCTTTGTTAACTGTGTGTATCATCATGTTCAAAAGGGAAATTTGAAACTTCCCTTGGCCAACCACAATGTTATTTCTTTGCCAGGGTTGCCACTTCTTCAACCATTTGATTTGCCATCTTTTATATATGACTATGGTACATATCCTGCATCTTTTGACCTTGTTGTAGGGAACCAGTTCTCCAACATTGAAAAGGCTGATTGGATCCTTTGCAATACTTTCTATGAACTGGAGAAAGAGGTAACTAATCGGTTCTTTACAAAAAGTCTAGACCTTTAATTTCAGAAGGTATACGTTTAGTGTTTAGCTGTAATGGTTTTATGCTGCATTATTTTTGTATAGGCATCTAGAGATCCACACTCGAGTGTTTTCTATTCATAGTTGAAAAGTATATTAATTTCGTCGAAAGAATCAAATATAAAATGTTTTCAGAAATTTATTTTTCTTAAAACAACTCACCATGATTAACCAATAACGTGGCAGCAAATAATCATAGCGGGAGAGCTATTTATTTAAAATTATAAATATTGTGAGAAATTGAATTTCTTACTATAGATATAGATTTATCTTCAAGTTTTCCATACATTGGAACGACAGTGTAACAAGTTGCATTCTAATGATTTTTTGTTCTTTCAACTGAATCAAATGGTTTCATTGCTCTCCATGTCTATTGTTACATATAATATTTGTGACAAATCTGTAAGCTTGATAGTTTCATTATGTAAGCTAATAGTAATGATGCACTTCATTTTTTTTTATATTATACTTTTCATCGACATGACTTCACCATATTCTGCAGGTAACAGATTGGTTGATGAAGCTCTGGCCAAAGTTGAAGACAATTGGGCCAACTATACCATCTATGTTTTTGGACAAGCGAGCTAAAGATGATGATGAGTATGGCTTCAGTCTCTTCAAGAGTGAAGAATGTGTGGAATGGATGGATAAGAAGCCGAAGGGGTCCGTTGTTTATGTCTCGGTTGGGAGTTTTTCAATCCTTAGTGAGGAGCAAATGGAGGAACTGGCTTTTGGATTGCAGGAGAGTGGTTGTCACTTCTTGTGGGTGGTTAGGGCTACTGAACAGGGAAAGATTCCAGAAGGCTTTAGGAGAAATTCAGAGAAAGGTTTGGTAGTAACATGGTGCTCTCAATTGAAAGTATTAGAACATGAGGCCGTAGGATGCTTTGTGACACATTGTGGATGGAACTCCACGTTGGAAGCTTTGAGCTTAGGAGTTCCAATGATTGCCATGCCACAGTGGACAGATCAAACCACAAACGCAAAGCTTATTGAAGATATTTGGGAAACAGGCCTAAGAGTTTCAGCTGATAACAAAGGGGTTTTCAGAAGGGAAGCTCTGAAACATGCTATAAAGGAAATTATGGAGAGTGAAATAGGAATAGACATAAAGAGAAAGGCCATCCAGTGGAAGAATTTGGCAGCAAAAGCAGTTGACGAGTGTGGAAGTTCTCATATGAATATTAGAGAGTTTATGGATACCTTGGTTTGTTCAAAATGAATCAAGAATGTGGTGCAACAACTCTTTCAATAATTGCAGGTTTGTGTTTTTAGAGTTCAAAAAGTAAGTAAGAATTTCACTTTAAATAATAATAAAAAAAGTTATGATCTCCGATCATAATTTTTTAGATTAAAGATGTAATGTTTTATTTTTGGTTTATTTCATATCATGAGAAAGACATTTAGCTACACTTTAAGATGGTCACAAAAATTCATACCCAATCAACAATGTTGTTTAGTTGGTAAATTCTATGTTGTGGGTAACATTACTGTTCCATGAATTATCATTAATAAACATCATATTTATCCAGGTAAAAGAGTGAACCAAATATAAGAACAACAATTACAAATTCAATCAACATGTGAGCAATCTACAAGCATCTATGTCAGCTTCAATTGTTAGCTAAAATCACCATTCATATCAGGAGTCAAGGGATAGCTCCCTAATTATCAATTATCATAGTAACATTAAGCACGATTTTAGACCACAGAGACTTCCCATGAGAAAACAAGACTAGGCCATTATTTTTATTAAACCTCAAACATGAGCCTCTCAAAATTCACAAATGATATAGCATCAGTGCAACATAAGGAGTTAATGACTACCAAGAGGGACATGAATTTAGACCTCCCACAAAGTCAATAGCTCACCAGTGAGATGTGTTAGAAATTGAATCGTCAGGTGTCTGCATTTTCCATCTACCAGAGGAATGTTCTTTGAAGTATTATCTCATAGCAGACTGGGACATTTGAAGTCCCTCCAATTCTCTCTGAACTGCAACAATATACACAACATAAATACTTGTATTTAAGAGATCTATATTAGTCTGCACTAAAAAATCAATTTTAATATATTTTCCAAGCAATAGGAGAAGAATGAATCATTTCATCTTTATCTTGACTTCAAAGAGTCAATAAAACCACAGAAATTATACAATGTATAACAACACATGAACCATAAAAAAGAATTTAAGAAAATCAATGTTGCTTTGTTAGTTGCTATTCTTTCGTAATAAATTCCCAAAACAAAGATAACTCCTTTGAAATAACAGTGGCACATCATATTTTATTATCCTGACCATGACAAAACACAGGTGTTGACTAAATCAACAGCAAAATTTACTATAATAATTCATAATTTCAATGTTAATTATGTTGAAGTCCATAAAAATAGATCAGAAGGAAGTGGTGCACAATTAACTGCACCCTCTTCAAAACATCCTTCCTTAAATGGATGAAGATGAACTCTTACATAGCTTATGGTGACAAGTCTCAGAGCTTCTATACCTTGGATCAAGTTTTAGTTCTCCATTAATAAGCTTGGAGATTCTAGGCTCTTCATCTGCTGCATAAGGAAACAATAACAACTGACCAGTGGTTTCATTGAAGAAAGTGGTCAACATGCAACCTGTCCTAACTACAGTTCCACCATGCGAATTACTCCAAAAGTAGAGTCTGAAATTTTAAAACTTCCAGGGCAAGGTTTTGGTAATGAATTACTGATGGTCAAATCTTCAGGGCAAGGTTTTGGTAAGGAATTACTGACGGTCAAATCTTCCCTAGTTGAAAGGTCAAGACTCAAGAGTCTCCACTGCACTAAACAGTTTGTCGAAAGTAATACTACCAATATCCCATGGAAGATGGATAGGAGCTCTCATTATGGATGGAGGACGAAGTTCCATCAAGCAAGAGTATGCCTTACAATATGAGAAATCTGAAGAAAAAAATGGTAGTCCCATCTGGATACAGAGAAAAAAATTATTATTTACATTAAAAAGGCAGAAAATTTGCATTTTTATGCAGTAGGGATGCAATGCAAATACTTACTTCACATGTAATCCATTGCTTCTCTTGCAAACCTATTATTATATATGCCCCATTGGAAATGAGTGGAACCCAGAAGGCTTTGACCCAACTTAAGGGAAGTATAAGAGACCATCTAGAAGACAATCACAGAAGAACTCGTTGTACTGTACATATAGGAAGGTTTTGACATAAATACTTAAAACTTAAATTGTGATATGTTTGTCTCATTATTGTTCTTGTTGTATCTTAAGCATTTTGGATCACTAATGTTGAACAAAAAAAGGAAATGTTTTGCATAAATTAAATAACAACCCTTCAACAGGATGCAGTATCTTTCGAAGAAGTTATATCCTTAATCCAATTACTTCTAAGTTTGCAAGTTGACCCTCAAGGGAAAAACAATTTAAGCAAGATCTCTCTCTTCTTTTCTCCTAATAAAAAAACATATATTGCGAGTGAGTTCATAAATAGTTTACAACTCTTAATTCTTCATCTTTATCAGGAAAATTAAAACCTTGACCACGCAAAACCAATCAAATTAGTGATTCATTTTAATAAAAAATTTATCTCAAATTTCCCCCCCTTCTGCATTTAAACAATTTTCTAGCAGGATTAATAATATTGTAAATTCAGACAAAAATCTTTTCATATTAAGTTATAGCATTAAAGAAATAATGACAAGTTATTAAGACAAAAGGCTCTATGAGCATCTGAATCTTTACAACCAGTCAGCTGAACTGTAAATGCAAATTAGGTGCAACGACCTGACCATGACCATTCACTGTGGTAATGAAATGTGACTGTGACATGAAATGAAATCCTTCAAATGGACCATGGGAATGGAGAATTTGTTCTGATTGTATTTATCCTCCAAAGTCTCACAATGGGTAGTTTGAAGAAGGGACCGGAAGAAAACCATTATAAAAATAAGAGATTGAGGTAAGTATTAGACCACAGTTTAAAAGAGTTTTCTTTGTGTATAAGGGGCTAGAGTTAGTTGTGAGTTAGAGAAGGTTTACAATTTTTTCGGATAAAAATTGGATGTGAGGATTTGCAGTTTTCCAATCCTAAAAATTGCACGTTGAGTAATAAAATATTCTTGAGTGTGTTTGTGGATGTAGGCCTTCAGGTGTAGAATCACGTTAAAATATTTTGTGTGTTTTTAATTATTTGTTGTGGGTGTGTGTTGTGCAGGTGTTCTTTTTCCTTCTAGGGTACCCAACAAAATTGTAGTGTAAATGACGATTATTTGTAACATAAACCCGTGGGGATATTGCTTTCTCAAATTTCTCTGTTTTTGTGCTTCTCATACATAGACTCACTTATGAAGGACGACAGGAAAAATAAATGAAACTAAGGCAAAAGAAACATATTGAGCATGGGTCAGCTGATGGAGAAAGGCTACTCAGTTTTGATAAAAGACTGAGTACTATACTTGAAAGACAAGTCAGATCGTTTGATTGCCCAAATAGAAATGAAGAAGAACAGAATGTACAAACTGGACTTGAAGATAGTTCAAGAGAGGTGTTTGAAACTTGACGTGAAGGATGAAGCAATGTGGCACTTTCGGTTTGGCCACTTGCATTTTGGCGGGCTGACCGAGTTGGTAAAGAAAGAGATGGTGCGAGGACTCCCGTTTATGGAATTTGAAAATAAATTTTGTGAAGAGTGTGTGCTCAGGAAGCATCCGAGATACACATTTCTGAGGACTGTCGAGTACCGTGCAAAGGAACAACTCGAATTGATTCACACAAATCTTTGAGGACTGATTACCCCTGAGTCTTTCAGTGGAAAAATGTATTTCATTTCTTTTATAGATGATTTTTCAATAAAAACCTAGTTATATTTTTTAAAGGAGAAATCCGAGGTGTTTGAGGTGTTCAAGAGATTTAAAACAATGGTTGAGAAAGAGATTGACATGTCTATCAAATTTGTTAGGTCTGATCAAGGAGGCGAGTTCATTTCATCCAAGCTCATGAATTATTGCGAGAAGCAAGGGATAAGGAGATTTCTGACAGCACCATACTCATCCCAACAAAATGGAGTTGTCGAGAGGAAGAATCAAACCATTCTTGACATGGTTCGAACAATGTTGAGAAGCAAGAATGTGCCAAAGGAGTTCTGAACAGAAGCAATGCAATGTGTCATTTATGTGCAAAATAGATGTCCACATGCTAAGCTAAACGAGAAGACACCGCAAGAAGTTTAGAGTGGAAGAAAGTCGAGTGTGTCTCACCTTAAAGTGTTCGACAACATAACTTATGGTTATGTTCCAGCTCAACAGAGGACCAAGCTCGAAGATAGAAGCAAAAAGTACATGTTTATTGGGTATAATGAAAAAACCAAGGTGTGCAGGTTATTTAACCCAATAACTAAGAAGGTCATTATGAGTCGAGATGTTCAAATTGATGAAGAAAGCGAGTGGAGTTTGAACAACCCAAAGAAGGAATCCATAGGAAGTAGAAGCTCAGAAGATGATACACCATATACTGTGAGAGATCATGAGACTTCTTATGAAGAAGATGAACCTCTACAGCCCAGAGTGCGAAGTTTACAAGATATATACAACTCCACTGACGAAGTGCATGTTGTATGTTTCTTGGCATATTCAGAAGACTTAAGTTTTAAAGAGGTCGTGCAGGAGAAAAGGTGGAAAAAGGCAATGGACAAAGAGATCGGGGCAATAGAATGCAACAACACGTGGGAGCTGACTGATTGCCCAAAGGAGCATGACCTATTGGCGTAAAGTGGGTGTACAAGAAGAAGACAAATGCTGAAAGAGAAGTTGAGCGATATAAAGCTCGACTCATAGTGAAGGGGTACAAGCATAAGGAAGGAATAAACTATGACGAAGTATTCGCCCTAGTGACGAGGATGGAAACAATTAGGCTGATGATTTCCTTAGAAGCTCAACACAGATGGACAATCTTACAGATGGACGTGAAGTCGGCATTTCTGAATGGAGTCTTGGAGGACAAAGTATATCTTGAACAACCACTCGAATACATGCGAAGAGGCGAAGATAAGAAAGTGCTGAGATTGAAGAAGACACTTTATGTCTTAAAACAAGCTCCACGAGCATGAAATGAAAGAGTTGACACTTACTTCAAGAGGAATGGATATGAGCAGTGTCCTTATAAACATGCTCTATACATAAAGAAGAAAGGAGAAGATGTGATGTTCATTGTCCTATGTTGTCGCTGTCAAAAGAAGCGGTCAGAGCGACGCGATGATTTGCATGACTCATGTTTTTTATAAAAGATGGTCAACATTCTTAAGATGCCCGATAACCAGACTGTTCTTAAGAATGAGGTTTTCAAAAAGGGTTCTATGGAGTCGTCACCAATGTTTTTACTGTAAATATCAAAAAAGGAAGAACAGGTGTTGGTTTTTAGAAAAACCAACTTTAGCCGTTAGAACCAGAGTTGGGTAAGGGAGTTAGTCACCTGTGGGGAAGGTGTTAGCACCCCACAACGCCCCTTTCGGGTTCCCTATGATGGACTAATTCATAAATAAAGACTGAAAGAAACTATGTTTTTACCCTATTATTTTATCTACTTACAGAATTTAAATGTTTACATGGCCCTAATATCTAATGCATACAAGGAAAGCGATAAAGGAAAGCATTAAAAGAGAGAGAATAAGGGAAGGAACCTCCGAAGCGAGTTTTATATTAACTCTTCGAAACTTGAGGATGCTTTTTGGCAATCCCCTCGCTCTACAAGCATGCTCCTCACCCGCAACAAAGAAAAAGACCACTCTACTGAGCGCCGGATGTCTCAAGAGGAGACCTCCCTAACCGATTTCTACCTTAACAGAAATCGGAAAGTTCACTCAAACTCTGGAATAATGCTCAAAGTCACTCTCAAGAGTCAAAAGACTTCGAAGAGAGTAGTAGGAGTGCAAGAGTATGAAAAACTGTGTGAAATGAGGGGGGGAGGCTCCTATTTATAGAAATTTGTGTCAGGCAGGCTGGGACGATCGTCTAGGCTTCTGATAGGCGAGACGGTCATCTGGGAAAACGAGATGGCTGTCTGGCCAAACGAGACGGCCGTCTGTCCAAACGGGACAGCCGTCTCGAGCCTCCTGTCAGATTTTCCTATTTTTTCTTATTTTTTGTGTACAGAAAGTCCTCTTATTCTTACATGGAACCTAGTGAACATGCCTAGGGACTTAAAGAAGCATTGTCCATCTTCAAATGAAGTTTTTCTGGTCTTTATTGAGAAACTGGACAAGATTTGGGGTCTACAGCTGCCCCCCCTTCACCCGACCAATTGATTATGGGCTAATATGCCATGAAATCGATTGGCGGGTGAAGGAGTTAACCCTCTTGTCCGATTGTCCTTCAGATGCTCCTCTTGATGTGGTAGCCGACCCTTGGGATGATGAATGTAGTCTGACATTGTCTACAGGATGCTTCCTTGTTGCGGAGGCTGACCCTTCAGACGATATGTGTGAAACTTCAGGATGTTCCTTTGATATGGTAGCTAACCCTTCGGCTGGCGAATGAAGTATTTCCCTCGGGATGCTCCTTTGATGCGGTAGCTAACCCCTTGGATGGTGTGTGTGAAGCTTCAGAATGTTCCTTCGATGCGGTAGCTGACCCTTTAGCTGATGAAAATTTTCCCTCGGGATATTCCTTTGATGCAGCAGCTGACCCCTCAGGTGGTGAATGCATAGTAGACTTTTTTCTTCAGGATGCTCCCATGCTGCGGAAGCTGACCCTTCGGACTGTAAATGTGGGTTGTGTCTTCCGAATACCCCTTTGCAATGGGGCTGATTATTTGGACGATGTGTGTAAATCCTACCTTCAAGATACTGTTTTGCAACGGAGCTGATCCTTCGAGCGATGACGGTGGATTGTGTCCTTCGGATACTCCTTTGCAACGGAGTTGATCCTTCG